CTCCATGGCTTAGGCCCAGGGTACCTGCGAGGCCACCTACTGCCACCGGTAGCCTCCCACCATCCAGTGCCTCCCACTAACATCCATATTTGGTTGAAAAAAATGACACAGAAACATATAGACTTTAAACCTGAGATTTATTTATTGGGAATATTACAGGAAATATACAAGAGAGAATTGAAATATTTGATTGTAAATGTGTTAACAGCAGCTAGAATTGTATTTGCTAAAAATTAGAAAAATGAGAAAATACTAAGGCAGGAGGAAGTTATTCAGAAAATAATGGAATGTGCTGAAATGAGTAAATTTGACATTTGAAATTAGAGAACAAGAAGATGAACAATTTTGGAGAATTTTCATAATATAAGAACAATAGAATGGTATAGAATATATTACAAAAGTACATTGTTATTGAATAGATTCAGGGTGATGTAATGAAAAGTTATAATATAAATGAATCCAATACCTAGAACATTTTGTTCAAAATGAAGGAATAATAGTTATAGATAAATAAATGCTGTATAATGATAATAATGTATACATATATACTATATGGATAATCTGTGATTTTATATACAATTGAAAGTGGGGACTATGGAAAGGATGCACAAAAGCCTTGTAGCCAAACAACATGCTGTATGTAATTGAAGGGGGTTTAATGTTTTATGTTTTGTTTGTCTTTGTTAAAAGAGTTTCTTCTCAGTTCTCAGAAAAACGTCTTCAAGTTTCTGAATTCCTAATTATTCTAACAGAAATCATTTTTCTCTATCATCAAAAAGCTATTTCAGATAAAAATATTTCCATGAATTAAATTAATATTGATATGAGCAAAGTACATTATATTTACCATGCAATCCTATATTTAATAGGTTCATAATTAAATCTCACTCAACAGTCATAATCGCAAGATTAATGGATTAATAGTCTATTCTGTTTCAGCAAATAAAACCTGTAAATAGGTTATATGTTCTTATCTTTGCTATTTTACCTGGACTCCTGGTTGAGCAATGAATTGTTGATCCTTAGCTTCTATCGCAAGTTCTAGACAACTGTTTCCACCCCATGCTTCACAGGAATAAATAAGTAACTGTTCTGCCAGATCTTCATCACTGCTGTAACATTCTGTGAACAATTCTAGAACAATTAAAATTCAGAATAGTTAAAAAGCTGTTCTTGGTTTTAAAATTTTGCCTGTCAAATTTTATATGGTAAATTTTTGTAGCTTCTAAAACCAGTTGTGGTTATCAACCCCTATTCCAAGCTTCAGTGATATGGGGATCTTTGCAGTCCTGACCACTGTTTATAATCATGCCCTGATCTTGGAGAAAAGGCCAAAATTCAATTCTAGAGCAACTATTTTGCCTGCAGAACGTCCCAAATAAGAACATAGCTTGAGATTTGCTACTATCATAGCAGATTGAGACAAATATTGTAAAATCTCTGAGGATTGTTCTCCATACCAGGGACAGCTGTAAATTACCTTACCTTAAATTTAAAAAACATTGTTACCTCTACAATCTTACTACATCTCCAAAGGAACTCAGCATATATTTGCAGTAATTAAAGTTTTCCTAGCTAAGATCCAAACCTATCTCCTTTTTGGAGTTCAGCAGGACCCCTATGTCATTTCTTTCTCTTGAAAGAGTTTGGCCCAGGTTTTCGAGTTCTATTTTTCAAATATCCTGCTGTGTTCAGAATATAGCAGTATTTTGTGAAGCTGGCCTACTCAAAATAGAAACTTCTGCCTGGATTTTCATTTTTTCCTATTGGCTTAAGCTCCCCCCCTCTTTTCTTTTTTTTTAAGCAATTTTGGCTTCTTTAACTATGACCAATAGTTTTCAGTCTTCCTGGTGCCAGACAAACTGCACTTTATGGCTTTTTAGAACCAGCCATCATCCTGATGGGCTGATCTTAAAAAATAGGGCATTGATTTAGAGCTGCAAACAAACTTATCAATTTCCACCTACGGTAGAAGCTTCTTTTTGAATCACTCTGCACACTTTCCCCAACCAGCCAGATACTTTAATCACATAACATTTCTGAAATTTAAATGGACTTTCTCTCTGGCTAAAATTCAATGTCTTCCCAATAACACTCACTGAAGGGAGATACTGAAAGATCTCTTTTGTAGATTTGACCAGTTGGTGTCGCAGCAAGATGGATAGTGGGGGTCTGCGAAACCTAGCCGATACCTGCTTGCCAGGAGACCCTACAGGGCCAAAGCCACCTTGAAGAGGTGGTGAAGATAGGAGAAACTTTTTGTTGATCTCAAGGAAATTGCCATTTCCTCGCTGGATGCAAAGAAATCCTCCTCATGCGAGCTGCACTGGTTACCAATCAGTCTCCGAATACGCTTCAAGGTGCTAGTCGTAACTTATAAAGCCCTTCATGGTATTGGATCTGGGTACTTGAGAGACCGCCTGCTGCCAATTACCTCCCACAGACCCATTAGATCTCACAGGGTTGGCCTCCTCCGGGTGCCATCTACCAGCCAATGGCATCTGGCTATTACCCGGGGGAGGGCCTTCTCCCCCGGGTAATAGCCAATAGCCAATAGCCATCAATTTAGAGATCAATACCCTTCTGACTGAGAGCTGGTTTCAGCCATAACAGAGGAGATGAACAAGGGGGAAGCGTCCAATGGGTAGCGGGGCTCCATGATGAGGCGGCTCCCAAATTAGAAGATGCCGACAGATTTGTTCAACAGATGCGGATCCGATTTAACAATGTGGCCCAACATGTGGAAGCAGAAGAGCAAATCCAAGGGTTGCAGCAGGCTGTCCGTGAAGGAATTAGTTTGGGAGTTTAGAAGGGTGGCTGAAAAGCTATGGGATTGGCCAGAACAACTCCTTGTGCATACATTCAAAGATGCTCTAGACTCCAAACTAAGAAAGGCATGCAGCATTAGAGTATCCAGAATTGGTACACTACCACAGTTATTCTGGATCACAAACTTCACCCTCATCGAAAGCCTACCACTGAAAATTGAAGACCTTTGGGCTGCCAAACCCAAACAAAGCAAGCCGAAATGCCTCCCCCAAACTGGTAGGAGCAATAAAGTATGGTCAACATGGGCACAGAGCATTGGAATGCTTGGCTCCAGCCCCAATCCCACAAGCAAGAACCCAAGCCATGAGTGGAACAAAGAAGACCCCATGAAAACCACCCAAAAAGAGTCATCTCATCCAACAAATGGAAGGAGCCCCCTTCCCAGCCTGAGGAGATGGAGACTCCACCAGATGGGGAACCCCTGCAAGTACAGAGGATGAAAACAGCAGTGAAGACAACCATATGGTAAGTGCAGCCTTCCACCCCTTTGCCATGAAAGTTATAGTGCCCAAGATGGGGGTAGAAGAGGAAGTCGTTGACATGGGCTACACCTGGTGCTTAATTAGCATGTCCATTGTAGAGCAGCTGGGCATACACACAAGACCCTTAGCACATCCCATTCAGTTTGAGCAAGTTGACGGGACACTAATTGGAGGGACCATGGCCAAGCTAATCACCACTTGATGAAGCTGCAGATATGAACTCCTCAGATTTATCATAGCACCAAAAATGAATGAATCAATCATCATGCATGGTTTGTCAAATGGTCACCTACCATAAAGTGGGAAGATGGCATTTGAAGTTTGACCCTAGGCATTGGGCTGCTACCCACCCTCATGTGAAGCCAGAAGGCCATCCGGGGACCATTGAGCCCCTTAAAGCAGACAATCCGAGCCTGCAGCCCCTGCAGTAGACACTAAACTTCCAGGCATCTATCAAATACCGAAAGAATACTGGGATTTAGAAGGGATTTTTAGTGAGTAAGATTGCAATTATTTCCCCCCTCACTGACCCACTGACTACACAATAGAGTTCATGCCTGGGGAAAAACTATCAAAGCTTAAGATGTACTACATGACCCCTAAACAAATGACGGAATTAAGGAAATGCATCGATGCCAATTTGGAGCAAGGCTTTATCCAACCAGCCAAGTAAAAATTAGCAGCCCCCATTCTCTTCAAAGAGAAGAAAGATGGGGGGGGGGAACTTTGTGTTGACTTCTGGGGAATTAATGCCGTTTGCGTAGAAAACACCTCCCACCTCCCCCTCATGAAGGACATATTGAATCACTTGGCCAAAAGCAAGGTGTTCCCCAAGCTGGACTTGAGAGAGGTGTATTACTGCACACGAACCCAGGAGGGGGATGAATGGAAGACAGCATTTAACTGCCCCCTTGGTAATTTCCAATTTAAAGTCATGCCATTTGGCTTACAAGGGGCCCCTGCGGTCTTCATGTAATTTACAAGAGGGTGCTCATTTACCTTGATGACATTCTTGTCTTTTCGGAGACCTGAGAGGAGCACGTAAAGCTGGTGCGGCAAGTCCTGGAAAAACGTCTGGCCATGAAGCTCTACATGAAGCTATCAAAATGTGAATTCCACAAAATCTCCCTGGATTATTGTATTTCCGTGATGGGATAGAAATGGACCAAGGGAAAGTGAAAACAGTGCTAGACTGGCAACCGCCACGCACCCACAAACAGCTACAAAGTTTCCTGGGATTTGCTAACTTCTATTGGCAATTCATCCCGGCATTTGCAGAAGTCACTCTGTCCCTAACTGAACTGTTAAAAACAGGGCCATCGCTTACAAAGCCGAAGCCAACCAGCCTATTGGGTGGACAATAGACTGTCAAAAAGCATTTGAAAAATTGAAATGGCTCTTTGCCCAAAAGCCCATTCTGCAACACCCTGACCCAGAACAGCAACTCATAATCCAGGCAGATGCCAGTGATGTGGCTATAGCAGCAATGCTGTTGCAAAAAGACAAAAAGGGACAAATCCTGCCTTTCATGTATGTCTCCAAAAAAACTCAACGCCACTGAAAGAAGATGGGCCATTTGGGAGAAAGAATCCTATGCAGTCCGTTGGGCACTACTCACCTGGAGACATTTCTTAGAGAGTGGGAAAAATAAACCTTGAAGCCTTAAAAAGCCCCAGAAAGTTGTCTCCAAAGCAAATCCGCTGGGCACAATACTTCAGGAGATTTAAATTCAAACTGAAGCACATCTCTTCTTGGAAGAACTTGCTGGCGGATGCCTTATCTAGGAAACCGCAGTATGACAATCAGAGGGAGGAAGTGATTCATGCCATAACTCCCCCCAACCAAATGGCAGCTGAAGCCACTGCCTGTGGCCAGACCAGATGGCAGCCTACTCTCAGCCAGGACAAGCTGACTGCAGTAATAAAATCAGCACTGCCAACCGACCCCTGGCTCAATGACAACAAATACATCCTGATGATGAGAGATGGCTTAGCCTGGAAAGGATCCAAACTGTACATTCCTGTGAACTGGAGGCTGGAAATACTACAGTGAAGCCATGATGCAAAATTGGCAGGTTACTTTGGTTTCCTAAAAATGCTCCACCTTGGCAGACATCCGTTTTGGTGGCCTAAGATGAAAGCTGAAGTGGAAGACTATGTGAAAATTTGTGCCACTTGCGCAGCCATGAGAATATGGCCAGGGAAGCCCCAGCTGAACATGGGAAGAGATCGCAATAGATTTCATCGTAGAGCTCCCAGACAGCAGCAGAAATAAAGTAATCTGGACAATCATTGACTTATTTTCCAAGCAAGCTCATTTCATTGCTTGCTCAGGATTACCATCAGTGAAGAAACTAGCGAAGATGTTTGTCAAACACATTTACCATCTACACGGAGAACCCCGGAGAATACGAAAAAAGCTCCAGCAGAGAGCACAAGAAAGTGCAGAAGAATACAAGAAACAAGTTGACAAGCACCGCTCGCTCCAACCCCCCTTCCATGTGGGGGGATTGTTTTCTTGTCTACCAAATACATAAAGTTAAGGATGCTTAGCAAGAAATTAGGGCCAAAATTTTTAGGTCCCTTCCCAATAGTGAAAATAATTAACCCAGTTACAGTTCAGCTCAGTCTGTCCAGAATTCTAGGGAAAATTCACCCAGTCTTTCATTGCACCTTGCTGAAACCTGTGATTGGGTCCAGCGGTGATACAGGGAGAAGCTCACTATGAGGTGAAAAAAATTGTATAGAGGTCGCTTGCAATATTTAGTGCATTGGAAGGGGTACCCTTTGTCCGAAGCTACATGGGTAAAATTTGGAAGAATGT